AGTAGTCCGCTGACAAACTATATAGCAAGTTGACAACTCCCCTACACACAGGCCGTATAACAAATTCATAAATACATATTCCAGTTCAAAAAAATAGCTCGCAGTATTTACAATATAGTATTTTTCGGATAAGCGTTAGATGAAACGTGGCTGGGAGGTTCGTGACAGTGCATTATTGTTAGAGATTTCTCTCAGTACATTTTCCTCTATGCATGCCATAGGGTCTTGTCTACAATACCGGCAGTCGCCGGAAGAAACCTGCTCGGTGAATTAAAACCTTTGTGGAAATTGGTGCTGACGCCGGGATAGCAGCCACACCTGTGATATGCAAGCGAATCAAATCTGTTGAACGTTAGTATAGTGCCAAGTGCTGTGCAGTGGCGATGCATGTTGGGCATCTACTGGCATTGCGAGAACGATGGAATGCGCTACTCGTGTAGGGCATTGTGGCATGATGGCGTGCCCTCTACTGTGTACTGGGCTACGTTTTCGAGCCGAGCTTCCACAATAGGTTATTCACCTAAGTCTGAAGTGTCTTTTTGAAGGTGTGGGTGCAATGACTTATATTGTTAATGTGAGCTGATGAACGGCGAAATACTGGGCATACAGTAAATATTTAGCAACGGGATTTAGTCAGTGAAGAATCAGTGTATCGAAGTGATGAAAGATTCACATGAGTTACGGCAGCACCAAAGTGTCTCTACTATTATCTGCAGGTAATACATTATTTTGGCAATGATTTTGGGTCAATACTCTTGTAGAAATAGCTCACTCAGGCTTGGTAGTATTACTAAAAGCATAAGAAATATTACCATTAGTATGTTACTTAGATTGATAATTACTTTATGAATATTTCTAAATAATTATGATGGCATAATCATAATAATAAATAACATCAATCCACTTTTGTATGACAATTACGGAGTTTAATAGAAATGATTATGGTACTAACATATTTATTTACGTGACAATAAATACAATACATACAAATTTTGATTACTGTAGTCAAATATAAAACCATTGTCACTAGTGATATCGATATCAGTCCTAACATAAGTAAGTGGGGAGATAGAAAGATATGGAAGGGCATGAAGAGATCAGAGTGGAGTAATGCTATTAAAACGAATAAAAAATAACGAATATACTAGATGATTCTCTGTTTTGATACATATATCTTGATAATAATACAGATATTAGTGATGAAAGTAAGATGAGTGTGATAATGATAATGCCCACGCCGATGTCAATAATATTTATTGTGAATATATATTGATGTTACAAAATATAAACGACACAAATGAGGTTTAAAAAAAAAAGAATTAATAACGATAATAATGATGAAATCGCTTTAAATGATAATGCTAATCAGGAAAATAAGTATAAAGATAATGATCATGTAGCAATATGCAACTATTATCATTATTCTTCTTATTACTACTATTGTTATTATTATCAATTTCAGCAGCAGAAGCAGCAACAGCAGTGATGATATCGATAATGAAAATGATAATAATAATAATAATAAATGGTAATGATAATAATGAAAACAATTATTATAGAAATAATACTTTCCCTATAATAAAATACAATTATAGAAATTTAATTATGATAATAATGATGATGATAAAAGGAGAATAATGATACTAACAATAATAATAGTAATAACATAATAATATATATACATACATAAAACGAAAATAAGCATGACAATATTAACATATTAATCTATTGTAATAATGGTGATGATTATAATGATAATGATAATGATAATGATAGTAATAGTAATAATAATAATAATAATAATAATAATAATAATAATAATAATAATAATAATGACAATGATGATGATGATGATAATAATGATAAAATATTGATAATTGTAATGATCAAGTTAATAATTATTAGTATGATATTAACGATAAGAACAATAAGAACACTAATTATAATAATAGTAGTAATAATTACAATAAGCATTATAGCACTAATGATAATAATAATGGTAATGATAATACTACTAATAAAATATTGATAATGATAAGGATAAAAATAATGATTATTAGTATAATAATGATAAAGATAATGACAATAACATAAGTAATAATAAGAATGATAATGATAATAATATTGATAGTAATACATACTTATGATCATCATAATACCAATGATGATAATGGTAATAATAATTATGATAATGATAATAATAATAATAATAATAATAATAATAATAATAATAATAATAATAATAATAATAATAATAATAATAATAATAATAATAATAATAATAATGTTATAGATAACCATAATGATAATAATATACCATAATGATGGTAATGACAATAATGAAAATAATAATGATGATAATAATGATAATAATGATGATAATAATGATAATAATAATATATATAATAATAATAATAGTAATAATAATGATAATAGATAATAATATATAATAATGATTATAACAGTAACAAAAAAATAATAATGATAACAATGAAAACAAAGACAACAACAATTTC